ACCCCTCCCCCCAGCGCCGCGGCTGCCGACTCCGGAAACGGAACCGGAAGTGGCCGCGCCGGCCCCGCCCCCGAGCACGGCCCGGCGGGAAACAGCGGCCGGAGGCCCGCGTTCCGGGGCCGCCAGCAGGGGACCCGCGCGCACGCGCACATGCACACGCGTGAACTCACGTATACGTGCACGCGCACACATGCATATACGCACACACACATACATGCACATGCACGCACACGTGCACACGCCTGCCCTGGGAGCAGAGCAGCTTGGAGAAAGGGCACCTTGCCTTGACCCCCTCCTGGCCCCTGGGCACCAGCGTCCCAGGCTCAGCTCAGCTCACCCCCGTCCACACGAGACATGTGAATGCGCCTCATCTACTTTACTGCGCAGTACAAGCGTGCGTCTACACATGCGTGCCCTTACTGCGCACTAAGCTAGGCTAATCACAATTAAATTTGATACCTGCAAATGCAGGCATCAAATTTGGTCACGATTAGTTAAAGCACAGAAACGCACGTGTGGATGCGACCGGGCACTGACTTTAGTGCCGGGTCTGCCCTTCCACTCGGGGGACAAGGCAGGGCTGGAGGGACCCAGCCCTACATTTAGTAGCAGATCTCTGCACGTGTAGACACCTGCCAAAAATCGCTTACTGTGCATTAAGCCAATGCACAGTACATTTAGTTGTGACCAATTGCACTCACCCTCTGAGGCAGCGAGAATTATCAGTGACTTAGCTGGGAAGAGCCCAGAAGCCCCGTCCTCTACAGGTGAGCTGTGCAACCCTGAGCAGCTACAAGGAGCTTGGCTCAGCTTCCCTGTAACCCATCTGCTTCCCCGTCTCCCCTTTTCTTGTCTCAAACATCTCCTTCTGAAGCCCTTTCCGAGAGGCGCTTGTAGCAACTAGTTATTTGATATGAACGGTCAGTAAAGCGATACACTAATTGTACCCCTGTCTGTTAGGTGCCATTGTTTTAAAGCAGATACAGTAACAGCGAAATGAATAGTTAATCTGAAGTCATGCAACGAGAGCCGGTGCCCCCAGTGGAAACATCCCTCCAAGGGAGCCCATCCATTATGAATGGGTCCAGCAGCCTGATTTGGCCAAAGACAGCAGCCAAAATGGGCAACAACAGAGCAGAAGGAGAGCGAGTCCATGCCCAGGCAGCTCCAAGCAGCCGAACTGCACAGGACCGGCCTTGAATGGTCACGCACATGGGCCACGGTACAGCCCCCTGGGCTCCAGGGCAGCTCTTGAGGACCTCTGTTGTCTCTGACATGTGCAGAATGGGGAGAAGGGTATGCACCGGGGGTGCTGCCCTCAGCGCCGGCCTCCTCTCTTCTCCGGCACTTCCCCCGAGGCCCCGTGGTGCCTTCTGGTCCCCGCCCTCAGGCATCCCCCGGGCCTCATTCCAGAGATGGGGAAAGCAAAGCGCTTTGAATTAAGTGACTTGCTTTAGGTCGCACGGGAAGTCTGTGGCGGAGCCTTTCGACTCGCCAACCGCTGCCCCACCCTCTCCCATCAGTCAGGAGTCTGTAATAAAATAATAACTCTAATAAAATGAGGCCTGTCCCTCCTTTCAAAAATAGCCAGGATTATGTGGCTGTGTTTGAAGAGGGGCTGCCAGGAGCATAATCCGTCCGGCTTTCCTTGGGGGGCAGGGCAGGAGCTCAGGGGATTACGTCTGCTAAGCCGTAATCCCAGCACCTCCCGGGCGTAGATCCCAAGCTGGCTCATGCCCGAGATGCCAGGCCTGCAGGGAGCTCCATAGGGAGCACGGTACGGACGACGGGGACCTAGTGAGGCTGGGCTGGCCCTGAGAGCCCCGTCCAGCTGCGCGGAGTGGGGGTGACTCCCCTCAAACCCGGCTGGTTGCAAAGAAAAGCATCGCAAATGCGTCACGCGTCAGCCTGTGCGAGGCCCAGCGTTTCCCCTGCTCCTTCCAGTTTCCTCCTGGAGCTCGACACCAGCTTCCCAGGCCGGCAGGGCCGTGTCCATCCAGCAGCAGGACAGGGCCATGTGGCAACGCGAGGAGAGGCCGTGCTCAGCCGTGCTCTCCCCCGCAGCCTGGAGCCCAGCCCTGCGCTCGAGGCACCGTGTGAGACCCGCCAGGCACGCAGCGGCTGCGGGCGGCACAGGCGTCGTGAGGCATTCGAAGCCCTTTGCGAAGAAACACCCAGGCGCTTCCTGCGGCTTCGCTCTCGCCGCTCCGGTGTCTCAATCAGCGGCCACCGCCCTCCCTGCCGGTCCCGTCTGGAAGCAGTCGCGGTGGCCACGAAACAAGCCCCCGGGCCAGTGCCCCAGCCTGAAGGGTCGGCACATCGGGCTCTCTAGAGCAGCGCGTCTTGAGCTTTGTACACTTGAGGCCGGCCACAAGGACACGAGGCACCCCGACGCACTCCGGCCCCCCAGACAGACTCGAGGCCCCCGCAGAGACTCAAAAGCACCCTGGCTACGCCCGAGATAAACCTGGAGCCCCCAGCTAGACTCCAGCCCCCAACAGACTGCATAGCCTCAGGCAGCCTCCTGCCCCGGCTGCCCGGGGCACCCAGCGAGACACGAGCCCCCCCAGACTGGGCGCATCCCGCGGGCCGCCGCGATCACGGAGGCTGGGAGCGCCCCGCACCGCC